GCGGGCGATCGCACTGCGTGGGGGCACGGGGCAGTTTACTATGTGATAAAGTGCGTTCTAACCACACCGGAATGCACTGTATACAGACATCCCAACCTACAAAACCTTATTTCAGGGAGGTTCCCGTCTCATTTCAGGGAGGTGCCCTTTCTGTTTTTTGGGTTGTTTTTTTAAAGCGGCCGTCGTCAGAATATAAAAGAAATAATAATGATAATATACACACACACACACACTTGTCACAATTTATTAGACAGCCCAAGACCTTTTTAAAAAAACACTGAGCAGTAAAGTCCCTGATACACAGATGACTAGTTGCTATGGGCAGCAAATGAAATAAATGTTCTCTATAACTAGACAACCAGGACATATAACAGCACTCTCTCAACCCTGCAGCAGTAGATCTCAGTGCCTGTACCTGCTCTCAATAGTGGTCTATGTCCGCCCTCTATGTGCAGCAAGTAGCTTCTTCCTTCCGAGAGCCAAGCCTCGTTCTGAGGCTACTCTAGAGATCACATGACCTTCCTCCAGGAGGCAAGCCTCACTCTGAAACTTTACCCACTGATATCTTACCGGAAAGGTTTACTCGGAGTAAACCTTTCAGGGAGAAAATGCCTCTCTTGCGGAAATCAGGGAGCTGCTGTCCAAAAGAGGGAGACTCCCTGAACATCAGGGAGACTTGAGATCCCTGTGTATATGGTGTAAACAAGCCCCTTAGGGACAGGAACGTCGCAAAGGCCTAAAACTAGATGAGAAAGTTGGGTTGCAGCAGACGAAACGCAACCAGCTCAAAGGTAATAAAATGTAAGGTCATCAAAGGTAAAGAATGTAAATAACGTGAGGTAGGCTACGGTATTCTACAACATAAATGTAACGTTTGCATACACCTCCACCATTTGCACATTTGCATACACAAAACAAGCTCGCTGCGTTGTGTCCGATACCACCGTTCTCTGCTACACTAATGGCCAATTCACACCAGCCGCTGCGCAAAACACACAGCCGCTGGTGTGCGTTGCCCCACAGTGTCGGCACATCGCACTGTGTACTTTTTGGGGGGGATAGAACTTTGTTTCATTCAGTTCTATGGGCATGGCGGGGTGCAAGGCAGTTCTTCCGTGTTGCATCCCGCTGTGCTGAAAAAAAGTACAGCGTGCCACACTTTATTTCAGTGCACACCACCGCGTTCCCATCGCAAGGTGATGGTGCGAACCGAGCCCATCCACAACGAGGAAAATTGCCTCGTCCTGCATTGGGGCTGTGCTGGTAACAACGGCCAGCATAGCCCCAACACCTCTGGTGTGAATCGGCCCTCAGAGGCTGAAGCTGCACCAACAAAATGGTCGCCGTGCTGCTATTTTAGTAACCCCCCGTACAGCGTGGAGCGAGGAATGCCGAGCGAGGTTATTAGAGTGTGAACTGCTATAAAAAGAAAATGTTTTGGCAGATTTCTCAGCAGCCGTCTTATTATCGGATAAATTTAGTCGGAATTTTTAGGGAAGCGCAGGCTAGAAATGTCAACAGGCCGGGGGGCTGGGATGGTGGCGCTGTGATTGGGGGGGGAGGCAGTACGCAGGGAAGGCCTCCAAAATTCGATCGAAATTTGTGTACAGTAGCTGAAAGAAGGATGTTTGGGGTCTTCACATGTGACCCATTATTTCCTGTGCAATCCCGATCCCTCATAACACAGCTGCTTTCCCACAACCCCCCTGACTTCTGGCCTTTTATTTGTAGGTCGCATTTACGGCCAATTTTGTTTACAGGCGATCTATAACCAGGCGGAAGAAGAAGAAAAAATACACGATTCTCCTTTTATTTTTCTTCGTATTGGAAGGTGTAAATTAAAGAACAAAAAAGTAATCTCTTACGGATGATTAGTCTGTAGATGTGGCGGCCGCATTCGTTTTCTTTTCTCAGTTTAAGAACGTTTTCAGCAGGTACAGAAAATGTACGGAGGGGAACATTCACAAAAAGTGTCTCGGACAAACTTTGGGTCAACTGGAGTGCAGCCAATCAGCTTTCAAAGCTGTGTGGGGAAAATGAAAGCTAGAAGCTGGTTGGTTGCTGTGGGCAACCGTACCAGTTAAGATAGAACTCGCTATTTATATAGCGCTGCGCAAACTGTTGGCGCTATATCAGTCCTGTATAATAATAAAAATAATACAAATAACTTCCTCACGCGCTTTTTATTAATTTCCCACACGGTGTCCTTGTCACTTCCTGTGTCGCTGAGCTGAACTGACATATGGCACAATGTTCTCTTCCTTCCACACTGTCTCTGGTAAACCTCTAAGGCCCCGTTCACACTTCTCGTATAAGAACGCAAACACGTGTTAGTGTGCAATCTTCCCGCGTTTGCCACACGTGAGCCCATTCAGTCAATGGACCGCACATATGCGACAAACGCGGGAAAGTAGCGCAGTATTTTCAGGTGCGAGTTTGGCACTTTTTCTCACCGGTGCACTTTTTCTTGTGAGCCCATTCAGTCACTGAACCGCACATGCGTGACGAATGCAGGAAAGTAGCGCATGTAGTATTTTCAGGTGCGAGCTTGGCACTTTTCATCACCCGTGCGCTTTCCCCACATGTACCCATTCAGCCAGTAAACCGCACGTATGCGACAAACGTGCGAAAGTAGCGCATGCAGTATTTTCAGGTGCGTGCTTGGCACTTTTTTTTTTTCCCCATGTGAGCAGCCGGGTTTAGGGTGCCGTTAACAAGCAGTTGCACTGCAAACCTGTTGCGTGTTGTTAACACATTGCGTGGAAGTGCGCCAAAGCTCGTGCTTCGACACATGTTCATGCAACGCCAAAGTGTGAAGGAGACCAAGGATCTGTGAACACGTGTTGCATTGGCGCCTTTGCCGCACGTCAGCACAGGGCAGCTTATTCATGTCAATGAGCTTTCCTACACACATGCAGCAGTAGTTTGAGCTCCAAGCTTCACGTTTTTTTTGACCACGCATTTTTCGCGTCTGTCGCGCATCAACGCACGGGAAAAGACATGTATTTTGCCCCTGGCTCTACAGGCACATCACGCATTTTTCCTGCATTGTGCGAGCGTACGCCAATGTGCACGCAAACTAGCGTCCTCCCGTCACCCCAGCTGCGTGAGTGACAGCTGGCTCTGCCTATCTACAGGCAGAGCCAGCTGTACCCGCCCCCTCCCCCGTCCCTTCCGCCAGTCAGCACTGGAGGATCGGAGTGGGGGAATCCAGCCCCTCCCCTGTCACGGCAGAGAGCTGTGACAGGATCGAGAGGTGAGCGAACGCCGGTATGTGTTCGCTCACTTCTCGATCTACTGAGCCGACCTGTGACAGTCTCATTGTCACAGGTCGGCTAGAACTATGAGGTGAGTGAGAAGCACTCACCTCAAAGTTCTCCTTTTAACATTTCAGGACAGCACAGGAAGTTTTGAGCTTATTGGATTTCTGGCGGGACCAACAGGCATTTTTGCACTTTATTGAACAGATATAACAAAATGCTTATTTATAAGGAGGAAAGGGAGAAAATAAAAGAAGTTCATTGTCAAGGTTTCAATAAACTTTAATGACTTACGAAAAGGAAAGCTGATGACGGCATTGAATATGAGCGATCTGCTGGCAGAGCCCAGAGACACCCTATGAAATATTATAGGATGAAGGTCTGGCAGGCATAGGGACGGTATATAGCCGTCGGCTTCTTCCTCTGCGTGAATTGAGATCATATCATGTCAACAATGTTCTGTACATCCAGAACCTGCCAGGAATGCGGCCGGGTGACTTTCCCCGAGTAATGATTTATGCAAAGCTAGCAACAGAGCAAAGTGTGAAGAAACCTCGTGTCTGACATAGAGGATTATAATTGCATCATACAAGGAAACAATGGATACGGGGAGCGGTCGAAGTTGCCAGATGAAATGTCAGGATTAAGTATAAGATTATAGTGGCACCTCAAAAAAAACAAAAAGGTACATTCTTAAAGCAGACAGTCGAAAATCCGGGCTCAAATAAATAGCTTATTAAAAGATAAAATAAACAGCAGGCATTGACACAATACTTAACTTCAATCCAGAGATTTCCCTCGCAGTACTTCTTTTCCACCACTAGATGTCCTCAGTTTGACAACCAGTGTCATTCAACTCACTTGCTCTGTGCTCAGGCTGTCATGGACCCGCCCCCAGGCCTGAGACTGGACAGAGAAGGAGGAGCAGCACAGCGATGGACTCATCTCTCTGTCACTGTGCTTTCCCCTACTATAAGCATGCTTCTTGTCATGAACTGATTGTCTCCTTGTGCTGCTTCTTCTTACAGTGCGACCCTGGTGTACAGTGTCTGAGGCTGATATCAGGCCAGATTCAGATACTTACACTGCTTGCATTTAAAAGAGAAATAAATTGGGGAGATTTTTCCTCGCTTTGTTTCAGGTCATGAAGCGATGGGAAATATCTTCAATGGGGACACGCATAGCAATAATTTCCATGAATCCATACCTTCCTGTCCAGGTAACAATCGCTCCCCCGATTTTCTTGTATGGTTGTCACAGGTACAGGAAGTGAGGGGGAATCTCTACAATGGGCAACGAAATTAAAAAAACTGATATAAATTATAAGAGCTATCACAGCTGCATAGTGTGATCCAGTATGCTGCCAATATGAGCGGGGCACATAGAAAGCAATTGTCTTCTATGTGCCCTAGCGGTGTGATGCCCAATTGTTCATTTGCTGGAAAAATTCCAGTCATCCCTATACATGTTTAACGAGCCCTTTCTCTTTCCTGAATGGGTGAAGTGACAGTCTCTCTTTTAAGGGGTCTGCAACAAGCTGCCGCAAACTCTCGCCGTTTACTGTAAAATAAAGCGTTTTGTTCAGAGAGGATGACGATGATTCCCTTTGTCATGCAGAACCGTGTTCATTGCATTTCAGTATGAAACGCGTCGTTTTAAGTGGGTGATCAAGGACACAACCGCGCAAAAAATGCTGTCAACTCCCACTAACCCCTTCTTATCACTTTCCCCTCTTTGCAGTCGCTGGCCTCAAGTGTGGAGACTGATATCGGATCCGTGTGTGAAACTGACAGAGCGTCAAGGAACAAGAAGAAGGAGTGAGTATCAAAATGGTTTCCCTCTCGCACACCCTGTGTGGGGTCTGTGTTTATTTACATATATATTTAGTTTTAGGCCCCGTTCACATTTAGGCCCCGTTCACATTTAGGCCCCGTTCACATTTAGGCCCCCGTTCACATTTAGGCCCCCGTCCACATTTAGGCCCCGTTCACATTTAGGCCCCGTCCACATTTAGGCCCCCGTTCACATTTAGGCCCCCGTAAGCGGATTTTGCCGCGATTCAATGGTTTTTGATGCAAGCATTTGTGCGATATCGCGCAAAATGCGCGACTTGCGAATCGCTCAATGTGAACGGGGCCTGAGCGATTCGCAAATCGCGCGTTTGCATTTTGTGTGATATCGCGCAAATGCTTGCATCAAAAACCATTGAATCGCGGCAAAATCCGCTCCAAAAAGGGTCCTGCTGTAGCGACACACGACCCGCGACAGCAGGACCCTTTGCCCCATTGCAAAGCATTGAAGAGCGATATCGCGCGGTAAATAGCCGCGATATCGCGGGAATTACCGTGCGATAAATCGCTTAATGTGAACGGGACCTTAGGGCCTGTTCACACAACTAAACACACAGGATCCATATGTTTAGGCCTCATTCACACACAACGCAAAATTGTATATTGCGTATATGCAATCCCAGAATGCATCACTCGTAATGGAATTTTTAATGTGCTGTATGCGTATATGCGTAAGGATGACAAGATGGTAAGGACGGTACATGCGCGTAAACGCGCGTATGTGCGCGTAAATACGCAGCAATACACTGCCCGGACGCATCTCTGTTCCATTCTGTTCTTGCGTATATATACCCTACGCAAACATACAGCTCCATACGCGGCTATGTGTATGGAGCCATTTATTTGCATGTGTTGCATATTATTATTATTATTATTATACAGGATTTATATGGCGCCAACAGTTTGCGCAGCGCTTTACAACATAGGGCAGACATTACAATCACAATACAATTCAAGACAAGATGGTAAGGATGGTACAGTACGCATGGCAGTGTGGATGAGGCCTTAGCGTCCACTATCGCATAGTGCACTGCACCACGTGCTAGGTGCACTGGTGCGTTGTGTTGTCATTCATTTAAATGGCACCACCTTCCGGTGGGCGAGCGTTGCAGCGCAATGTGCGAGCGTTACAGCGCAATACCTTGCATTGTGATTAAAGTAGTAGTGCATGCATTCGGTTTTATGTGTATTATGTAACAGAACTGCGTGCTGCAATGTACGCCTGCTGGGAGGTGTGCTGGGGGGCAAGGCAAAGCACCAGCGCACCTAGCGTGCAGTGCAAAAGCATGCGCTGAGGGCCCAGTTACACCATAAAGAGTGCGTTCCAGTGCGTTTGGCCTCGCGTTCGAGTGCCTGCGATTGCACTGCCGGTGGGGGGGCGTGGCTGCGGTACCATTGACTTCAATGCAGCGCCATGCCCCCTCCCGCCCCAAAGCAAAGTGAGCCGGCCGGGTTGCGTTCCAGTGCGTTCCAGAGGCAGAACACACTGGAACGCACTCTTTGTGATGTGACTGGGCCCAACGCTGTGATGTGACTGGGCCCAACGCTATGGTGTGAACCTGCCTACTGTATAGGAATGCTCACCGGCTCCTCCCCCTTTATCATTATGATGATTTTGGTACTCATTCTGGCTTGCAGCATTTTTTTAGAGCACGTTGGTTAATCTTGCCGTACACTGCTCGTATTTCATATCCTATATATTAAAATTCAAGCAGTGCGCGGTCCTGCCAGCGCAACCGAGATCAACAAAAGTGGATGATTCAATTGACTTTTGTTGAAGGAGCCGGGTGGAAAATTGTCGGCGGAACAATGACTGCAGTCACTGTTTAGCTACTATGACAGCGGCGGTCGCGGGCAGTCACAATACTATACCTCAGCAGGGAATATTCTGCCATCCTCACTGTTCAACGTAGATGGAGAACACCTTCGGATTTCTTTTGCTCAGCCTGCAGGCTGAAGGAAAGAAATCTATAAGTGAATGGCCAGCTTTAGGCTTCATTTACACGCTTCGCTATTCATAGCTCAGAGAGCGGTCATGGGGTGGGGGCCCCCATCACTTGCTATGAAGTCCCGTGACGGCCCTGGCTACACGCACATATATATATACATTATATGAAATGTCTACATGTTATATGACTTCGGTTTTCTCTATCGCAGACAGAAGCACAAAAGAAGCCATTTGTCTCTGTTCCGACTGTGGCCATCTCATTCATCTCATATTACACGGTAATGATTTCTATCTATATTTTGTGTATTGTGTCTCATTGTGGTTTCTGCCGCTACTTATTTCTATTGTGAAGCTGACCCAAAAGTAATGTTTAAATGTGAGTTCAGTGTTTTCAGCTGTGTAGTCATCCATATTTTCATTATTCTAGTTCAAACCTGGATTAATGGGCACGCCCCCTAGTGGCTGTCTTTGTCATGCAGTGCAGTCAGGATACAGGACAGGCCATTTACAGTGTCTTTCATTGTCTTCCTACATAGAGGAGCATTCTAGTAAAGCATTGTTATTGTGCAGCACTACTAAGAAGGAAAAGAAAGATCTCTCTCTCTCTCTCTCTCTCTCTCTCTCTCTCTCTCTCTCTCTCTCTCTCTCTAAATAATAACTAGGATTTTAACCTGTTGCCATATTATCTAAGGTACCAATAAAAACCTAATATTGGCTCTAGGCTCCCTCCAGCTGCACTAGACCACCATGCAACAGCCACAGGGGGTCACATGATTACTGATTATTGATGTGTTCAAGCAGAGCCATTGATTGGCCAATTTTGCTCAAACTCACTTATTGGCAGTACATGTTTTCAGTTAATTGACTGATTCTTGGACTTGGATTGTGAGTATTGATGAACCTGGGCTTGGTGTGGACCCAGAACTGTAACTACCACCCCCACTTCCCGGTCCAATCAGTGGCGGAGAGGAGTACCCCCTCCCCCAGCTATACATCACAAGGGGGCGGGGAATGCCCTTGCCGCAACTGCCGCCACTAATTGGGCAGGGTGGTGGGAGTGGCGGTCACAGTTTTGAGCGGGCTTGGGCAAACTCAGGCGAACTGGATTCACACCAATCCCTTGCTCATCTGTAACTGCAGTGAAGCACAGCCATTGCATAGTGCAGCACAGCAGAAAGCAAAGCATATACTGTATAATGAGCAAATATGGCTGCCCCATTGTACGCATATTAATTAGAAATTATTCATAGAAATACGTGTTTTTTTTTTGTTTTTTTTTAAAGCAATAAATGTACAATTAACTAAAATTTACATCAGACCTGTCGCCTTTACAAGTATTTCCGAATTGTCATTAAATGCTGTACATTCCCTTTAATGGAACACTGCTGCATTTGCATTTTAAAGGACAATTCGGTTTCATTTATCTTTGTTGGACCGTGACACAGTCAGCGAATTGCTCACAGATTACGCAGAGCTTTGCATTGATTTGTGCTGTGATTAAAGATGCCAATTTAGATGTGTTCCAGCAGTCTTTAATTGTCTTCCCTTATCCGTACTTCCTTCTCTTCATCACAGGCCCAGCGTAGAAGACGTCCAGAGCTGGGGGCAGTCCCTTGAGGTCCTGCTTGCTCATCCATGTGAGTATTACAGCATTTTAAAGTCGAAATGCCACTTAGCACTGCGTGAATAGGAGTCAGGAGTTGGGCGTATTCTATCAAAGTTTGTGACTGCGTTAGAATGTGTGACCGGTAACGTGGTCACACATATAACGTAGTCCCGCCCAGTTTTCAGTTTTTCGGCGGTGCGATCTCACATTCCACAGAGTCAGATAGAAGTGACATTTCAGGACCGATCAGCTGTTTCAGGGCAGATCGGTTCTCCTGCACATACCATCTGCAATGCCGATCTGCCCTGGAACAGCTGAGAAAGCGTTGGAATTCTTCACCTTTTGTCGGTCACACATTCTACCGCCGAAATAGTGTGCTTACGTTAAACCGGTCACACATTCCAACCCAGTCACAATCTTTGATAGAACAGGGCGCATAAGATAAGCCCAGTGGCAATTCAGAAAAAAAGTAACAATATGTTGTGTAAAAGTATAAAAGCTTTTTGTGCCAGATTATTGGTTGTTAGTTTTTGGTATAACACTTCTGACACAGAGCCCTAAGGTCCCTGTTGAACTTATCCTCCCTCTTCCCTAACACTAATCCTTACACTAACTTTCCTTGTAACCCCTTGTTTAAGGAGACCCTGTCACCTTACCCATTTAGGGCAAAGTGACAGGGCCACTTTAAAAATGTTACCTCACGGACCGTGTCAAAGTGATTCCTCTCTAGCCAACTGTGTCAAAGCAATCTCTCTCTAGCCATCTGCATCAAAGTGATCCCTCTCTGGCCAGTCCCTACAGTGCACAATGCCAAATACGTAGTTGCTTATATCACGCTTTATTGGACATATAGTGCCAATATGGGGCAGACAAACACAGTTGGAAGAAAGCTACAAACCTGAGGCTGGTCACTGACCTGCATTATGTAGTAGAAATGGAGAGATGCCTGTGCAGTTATTGGGGTTACTGGATGGAATAGGTCTGCGTCCGCAACCGGTCATCTGTCCCTACCCTCAGGCAACTGCAGGATGTGTGAATACATGCAAACAGCGATGCGGCTTTTATCAGCCTTTCATTGCTTTGTACCCAGCCGCAGATATTCACATATATCTGCGACCCAACAGTAGGCATCGACTCCGCAGACCCCTGCCACAGGAGTCCGCCGACCCCTGCCACAGGAGTCCGCCGACCCCTGCCACAGGAGTCCGCCGACCCCTGCCACAGGAGTCCGCTGACCGGTTCTATAAGGATGTGTGAACGAGGCCCAAGGCATATACACATGCTCTCCAGACTTGTGACCCGGTCTTCTGTTCTGCCGAGTTTTTTATAAAAGGGCAGTTTGTGTAAAACGTCTGCTTTGTAAACCGTAACGACTATTTCTAACATATTTCATGTTTACAAACCAAGTCCTGAATTGCAGCCAGCAGTTCTTCAGATGGAACTACATGTGAGATATTGAGCTGCTGGATTTATAGGCTGGCCGGGATAGATACACAAAGACTAACAGGAAGGATGAAAGCAGAAGTGCAGACCGATATAAAACAACCTCATTTAACCGAATGATATCTGTGATTAAAAAAAAAAAAAAAAGCTTAAAGGAGATGTAAACCATAAATGGATGAGATTCAATTTGCTAAAGCGCTGTGCATCATTCACTATCGCCACTTTAAAAAAAAATGTCTCTTCTTATTTTTTTCTATTTTTTTTCATCCATTGCTGATCCCCACTCGCCCATTAGTCAGCGTTCACCTTCCTCCCCTCTGCTCTAGCTCTTGGATATCCCTTGGCATCCTCACGTACATTGCTATGGACCCTGCATTGTATGTGATGACGTCAGCGGGACTGCCAGAGCAGAGAGCTGCCTCCCGTCTGCCCATCGCTTTCAACAATTTCCCGGATCCCCAGTGTGCTTTGCGTCCCTTTCCCTGCTGCTTGATGCGATGCATTCTCCATTTCTCAATACTACATATATCCCATCATGCATTGCTTCCAGCAAGCAATGACAGTGTTAACATTGTCTAGACGCTGAGTTGTAGTTCAGAAGGCAGGCTCTGTGAGGGTGGTGATAAAAGGAAGTGCGTATTCCCCGGGCTATGTGAAATGGTGTCAGTGCATGGAGGAAGTGCAGCCTATGGGCATCTTCAATTTACAGACTTCTAGATGGATCTGGTTATTAGGAGCGGGAAATAACGCATGGAAATTCAATCTAGAAATACAGATTTACTTTTACTTTCTGACCATAGATACCCTTTAATGCCTGCAGTGCTTCTATTTTACTATGCCCGCCCCCCCAGCTATGAAAGCTGCATATTACATTTTGAACTACAATCACATGTAAAAGATGATATGATAGTTTAGTGATTGGGGGTTACATTTACTGTACATCAGCCTGTGTTTTATATCCGCCTTGTATAGTTCCCTGCACACCAGTAATGGGACTGGGAGAGGAAGAGGCAGCACTCTAAACCAGTCACCCTCTACCACAGTGCACAAGGACTTAGCTGATAGGAGGAGAGAGAGCAAAGAGTTGACCTTAGAAGTCTGTTGCTGCTCCTTCGTTGTCCAATCACAGACTATGGTGGTCCTTGACCAAGCTGTATTGCTTTAAGTGCAGTAGACAAAAGTGAGGTCAGATCTGGGCTGTGCTGTCTGACAGGGATGGCCGGATTAAAATACTGGCTCTGGGGCAGCTAAGGCAATTCACACTTCTGTATTTTGACCGTGGAGGATCAACCTTTCTGGAGAAAATTATGTTTCAGGTTCCCTTCAACATTTCTTGCTTAAAGAAAAACTCCAGGTAAAAGTTTTCTTTACCCCGGCACTGCAAGGGTTAACTGCTCTATTTGCCTAGGGTCAAAAATAACAAAGTTATACTCACATGTTCCTCCAAGCCGGCCGGGTGTGACAACGCTCCCCCTAGCCTGTCTCCTCTGATGGTATGTCCCTCGGCATCTCCTATACACTGTGTATAGACGTGATGACTCAGGGACCTTAGACCTCTGCCGTGGAGGGGGAGAGAGGTTCCAGGAACCGGTCTAAGAGCAAGCCAGCTCGGAGGAGGCATACCTCATCCCACCGGGTGAATGTTCCCTCCCCTCAATTAGACGGCCGCGCGTGATGACGTCACCCGGTCTCTGCCCTGGGTAACGCCTGGCCTCGGGACGCCCCTGGTGAGTATAGTATAACATTTCTTTTCAACCCTTGCAGTGCAGGGGTAGCAGATTTTTACCTGGAGTATTTCTTTTACCAAAAACCTAGGTATTAGGTCACATTTCGTCTGCTGAGGGTAAGCGTTCATATTGGTTGATGCTCCTCTTGCAGCACAGATCATGTGACCTGATGCCTAGGCTTTTGGTAATGTAACCAGCAGTGGAGGGAGGCTGGAGCTGCAGTTTCCCCAGTAAAGCTGAATATAATTCTTTTACTCTTTATTTCTACCTTTCAGCATTCCTTCTTATAGGTTTAATTTCACTTTTGAGCTCAGGTCGGCTGGAGTCTTTAGCTGACATTTGCTTCGCTTGCAGCACATTGATTTCAGCCTTTCGGAGAGAATTCCTTCCTCAGGAACACTGATAAATGAGACCTTCCTTCCATGGAACTGGGCTTTTCCATTGTTTCTCCACTTTGTAGCAACACAAATATTGATGCCGGCTGTCGTCACCGTTGTCTTGTTTGAATTCATCTAATTATGACAATCTGTCCGGCTCCCCGTCCAGCGTGGGTACCTAATCTAGCTGAGCTTGTAATTTACTGCCGTCATCAGCGGGGTTTATTGTCGGTGGTTTTAGTCATTGTTTCTTGGCTGCATCATGTCTGCACACAGTCTTCTATGGGGAGAAGGGGAGGTGTTCCATAGTCCTATCCTAGAATGTCAACACTGCAATATATTATATTTTTTTGTTCTTGGATTTAGATACATATTATCAGCAATCCCCAGCTTGTCATGCTGCCTTCTCCAGCTGCTGTGGGACAACAATTCCCAGCTTGCCATGTAGCATTTTCCAGTTACTGTGGAACTGCAACATCCAACATTCCCTGCAGCCTTCTATAGCTGATGTGGAACTGAAATTTTCAGCATGTCCTGCTGCTTTTCCCAACTGCTGTGGAGCCCCAATTCCCAGTGTTTTCCAGCTTCTGTGGAACCTCAGTTCCTAGCATTTCCCAGCTTCTGTGGAACCTCAGTTCCTAGCATTTCCCAGCTTCTGTGGAACCTCAGTTCCCAGCATTCTCCAGCTTCTGTGGAACCTCAATTCCCAGTGTTCTCCAACTACTGTGGAACCTCAGTTCGCAGCATTCTCCAGCTTCTGTGGAACCTCAATTCCCAGCATTCTCCAGCTTCTGTGGAACCTCAATTCCCAGTGTTCTAATACTACTATGGAACCTCAGTTCCCAGTGTTCTCCAGCTTCTTTGGAACCTCAATTCCCAGCATTCTCCAGCTTCTTTGGAACCTCAATTCACAGCATTCTCCAGCTTCTGTGGAATCTCAATTCCCAGTGTTCTCCAACTACTATGGAACCCCAATTCCCAGTGTTCTCCAGCTTCTTTGGAACCTCAATTCCCAGCATTCTCCAGCTTCTTTGAAACCTCAATTCCCAGTGTTCTCCAACTACTATGGAACCTCAATTCCCAGTGTACTCCAGCTTCTGTGGAACCTCAATTCTCAGCGTACTCCAAATACTGTAGAACCTCAATTCCCAGTGTTCTCCAACTACTATGGAACCTCAATTCCCAGTGTTCTCCAGCTTCTTTGAAACCTCCAATTCCCAGCATTCTCCAGCTTCTGTGGAACCTCAATTCCCAGTGTTCTCCAACTACTATGGAACCTCAATTCCCAGCGTACTCCAGCTTCTGTGGAACCTCAATTCCCAGTGTTCTCCAACTACTATGGAACCTCAATTCCCAGTGTTCCCAAGCTTCTGTGGAACCTCAATTCTCGGCATACTCCAAATACTGTGGAACCTCAGTTCCCAGCATTCTCCAGCTTCTGTGGAGCCTCAATTGCCAGTGTTCTTCAGCTTCTTTGGAACCTC